AGTAGGATGCCCTGCTATAAATATAATAAAGCCTTTTATTATGTCCATTAACCATGGACATGTGTGCACCAAAAGTTTCCTGACACGCAGTCATTTGTGGCTTTTTAATTATAAACAGAAAATATCTACCAGCAAAAGAAGACAGCAGACTGGAAGTGGATCTTTATGTGTGTGTTTTGAGTATGTTCTCTGACAGGCTGATGGCACCCACACCCTCCTCCTGATCCCGTCGGAGACTCTCTGCGTGTGCACATACGTGTACACAAAAAACCAGTAACACAACAGATCAGTCTCAGGTGATACAGATTTGTCAGCTGGGTCGACCCCAGGGGCCTTATGCAGGTTTTCAAACCCCAATAACAGCGATCAACCCCCTTTTCAATATGCAGATATGCCCCCCTCCATTTTGCAGACCTCGTTCCGCTTGAACTCAGCAGAAAAAAAAGGCCCAGTAAATTACTTGACAAATTAAGTCATATTTATTGAATGCGTTTTATTTCAACAACCGAAAAATTCTAACAGCCTAACAATGCACATAAGTTAAAAATTAATTATCACTTAGTGATAACAAAGATAAAGTTGATTTACATGGAAAAAAGAACATTTACAATATGTTAATCCTTATTCACATTGTTGATACCGCAATAAAACACAATTTGTTTTTTTTATTTTTTATTTCACAAAAAAGGCGGAAAATTGTGCTTTGTTAAGAGGCACTACAAGAAAAGTTTCTTTCTCCAAATAGATATTATATGATGGATATTGAATAAATAGACATATATGCATTGTAATTCGCAAAGTTCTGGCAAGACCACAGGCTAAAATGCCCACAGATTCACTTAGAACCACTGCAAAATTGGCAGTGAAATTAAACATAAAAAGGCAAGACTCAGCATTGAAAAAATACCTAATAAAATTTTTGGTTGAAGTGTAAAAGATACCAAATGTTGATGCCATCATCAGATGAACAACCTTACGTAGCTTGGCAAAATTCAGTTTCCTTTCAAATGTATGGAGCGATTTCAGCTACAGGATAAGAAGACAGTTTTGAAAGAGTAGCTCTGACAGAAACATAAAGCAGCAACCATTGAAATTCTGATTAAAGCTGCAGCATACTACAGAAACAAAGGGTGAAGAGCAAAAGGGGCATTAAGTAAGCAACCCACCATCATTTTGCAAAGGTATATGAAATTTATGCAGAGATACTCTTATGTTTCAAACATTAGTTTTGAAAAAATCCCTTAAAAACTCCAGAGGTTACTGAGCAGCTAGAATTAGCTTGTATTGCAACGTCTTCTCCCTGTATATTGTCTGTTCTGAGTAAATATCTACACGTAGAGGTTTGTTTTTCGTTTTTAACTCCTAACCTTTTATACCTTTCAAATATATAAATAGTATTAACAGTTATATTACATTGCCTGGTGTAGTAAACAGAAAGTAACTCTCAAAGTGATATTGCATGAGGTCTTTGTCAAGGTTACGCGAAAAGCCCATGTGAAAAAAGGAAGAAAAAAACCAGAAGCCTTGTTGGTACGGTTGCGGTTGCAGTTTGAACAGGCGTCTGAAATCAATCCAGCTGCAAGAGTGGCGAAGGTGAGGTCTTGTCTCGGAAATCATTGCACGGAAGTGAAAAGGAAATGCTACTTGGTGTCTCTTTCGACATGGTGCCTCAGAACGGGTGGATGCTATAGTAGATTGCAGCTTTAGTGCTCATGCCACTGAAGAGTCCGTCAGTATTAGCTCTGCTTTATGTACGGTAGCTGCTAGCTAGGCCGCTGCGAAACCCTTCGACAAGGAGGTGGATGGGTGTGAAGGGCCTCGCGCGCCTGCGGCCCCCTGCGGCAGGGAGGCTGGAAAGCGCCCGCGCCTCGGACGCCGCGCACTGGAGGTGGGCTGCAGCCTGGGGGACCCGCGGCTGAAAACGCTTCATTTCACTGGCACAAAACGCGTGACACGGAGGAAGCCCAGCTAAAACGGAAACACGGGGGAGGCTGGCGAGAAGGGCGAACGGGAAGTCAGCAACGCAAACCCTCGGTCTCTCAGCAATTTACCTGGACGGGATTGTTGGGATTGTGGCATTTTGTGTCCCAATGTAACTTTACACTTGTGTGTGTGTGTGTTTCACCTCAGTATAAACAAAAAAGCAACAACAAGAAGGAAGCTTATAAACTTTAAGATCTGAAACAGAGAACAGGTAAATAAAATCCACAGTAAAATGTGGTTCATAGTATGAATTCCATACATCAAATCTCAACACATTATCTTTCTTCTCTTTCTATAAAGACCTCGTTAACGGACAAGTCTTCTATGCACTGAATTTCAGTTTTAGTCATTCTGAATCCCATGAAAATTCATCTGTTCACTATGGAAAGGACTGTCTGGAGAGTGGAACATGCTGTATCCTTTTAAGTGTGCATTGTGTTTAAAGTACTTTAACTTACTAGTTTTCTTTTTAAGGTGCCCTGATTTGTTTTTCCATTTTCTCTCTTTTTTTCCTCTCTTCTTTTTTTGGCAGTGTTGATTTACGTCTTTAAATACATATCTCAAAAATTACCCATCAAGTCGCCAGATAGGAAGCCATATAATAATAATAAAAAAAAAAAAAAATCAGGGATAAACATAGAAAATAAATAGGAATTCAAAAATAGTCACCACACCCTGAGAGCAGGCGGCAGTTTATCAAAAAGCCAAAGCAACTCATTGTGAAGTGGTTTTAATACATAAACAAGTCTCATCTTTAAAGAACTCATTTCACAGTCTATACTTTCAGGTTGTAAAGTTCCGTCCCATGCAATTTTAATATATATATATTTTATGTAAATATATATATATATACACACAAAGTTGCAAATTTTCCTTCATTGATTTCATAGGACTTTTTCTTCCCATTTACTTGCTAGATGTCCCTTTCATAAGTGCAAGATTAATGAAGGCATAATCCTATGTGATTACAATGATTACTTCAGTCAAATGTAGGAAGTGTAACACTCGAGTGTCTGTGTCAAGGCGATGTCTGATCGGGCAACGCTGAATTCATTCGGTTCGCACATGGATCATGCGCAACGCAAACAAACAAACAAAAAGTAAAAAGAGAAAAAAATTAAAAATAAAACCAGAAAATCCTTGGATCAATGTATTGCTTTCTGCGCTCCTATCTCACATTATCTCTGGTCGATGTCCGCTGGAGCCGCCTTGCTTTTGTCGGGGTTCTCCTCCTCAGGCTCCACTTTGTACATTTCCTCAGAGCCCTCCTCGCTGTCGTTCTCCTCCGACTCCGTCAGCAGCTCCTCATCCTTGTACTCTGCCACGTCAACCACCGTTCCCAAATGCTCTTTTAGCTTCCCATGGTGCTTTACGTGGTAACGCTGGTTCTGGAAGAATTTGATGATGGTGTGTTTGGGGAGATCCAGCTGAGCAGAGAGGGTGTGGATGGCTTCCTGGTCAGGGTAGAGACCCACGTCGTGGATAAAGCTTTGAAGGATACCTAGAGCTTCCAAGGAGATCTTGGTACGGGATCTTGGCTTTTTGGCACAACTGTCCTCAGCGGGCGGAGGAGGAGCCTCTTCTCTAGGTGGGGAATTCTCCTTTGCAGGCTGGGATTGCTGTCTGTGCAGCACCTACAAGATCAAACAGACAGGCTTCACGTACATGCTGACCCCCTCAGTGCTTGAGATAAGGGCACTTGTACAGGTCTTTACACAGGGTCTACTTTGTTTTGGTGAAGAGAAGTATTAATTAATATTCATTTTCCACTACCTTTCTTACCTGTAAGACGGCTGCACCAGTAACTAGAGACTGAAAGGAGAAAGCGATATAAAAAGCTAACGACACAAAATAAATATAAAACCACAAAATAAATAATGAATACAAAATGTAGGTGATAGAAAGAAATATAAAATAGCCAAAATAAAAATTAAGTCAAAAGGTATTACAGTCTCATGGTCGTGATGACTGGCCAGTCGTCCCATCTCAGACAAGTCATTCTCCCACTTTGCTCCTCTTCTCCCCACTCCTTGTTTCCTCTCGTCTTTTCAGGCTAGAGACTCTCACCGTTTCTACAAGATGCCGAGTACCACAAAGGCCTAATCACACGTGGGATTGTCAGGTGCTACTTTAGCATGAATAGTGATTTGGCATTAAAATCCATCACAGCTGCTTTATGGCCAAAAAAAAAAAAAAAAAAAAAAGTCCAGACATTTGTTAAGATTTCCCTTCTATGAAGAGCGACATTGTCGTCGGTTCAGTTGCTTCGCAGAGCTGGCTTTAATGTACCTCTTGAACAGATTTCTCTGTATTACATCTGTATTAATTTCACTAGCTGAGAAGTTCTGAGTTCAAATAATTATATCGCTCCACTCTGAGAAAGCCTCTGGGCAAACACGGTTTTCAGTCTTGTAACAGATTTTCACCAGCAGTATCTCCTTTTTGGCAAGTTTAAAGAAAGCATATGTAGCTCTTAATCTTCCTAACAGCCACTTAAAATGACTAAGAAAGGGCCTCGTGCAGCCCTTATTCCAGAGGAAAAAATACCTGCTCGGAATTGTTAGAAATACAGAGGAGCTCCATATGCTTTCTTTAAAACCAAATCTATACAAGAGAGATTACCGGCAAAAATCCCCTACAGGATTGAGGGCTGTATTTGCCCAGAGGTTTCTTCAGATGCAGAGAAATTAATTATTAGAACTCAATGCTACAGAGCTAACAAAATCAATATGGATAAATATTTCTTTCCACAAGTAAGAGGGAATTCTGGCTCTTCACCCAAAGAAGAAAACGTCTTTGCTGCAAACTGTAACATCCAGAAAATCAACCCTACATTAAAGCTCTCTAAAGGGAAAAAAATAAAGATAAATAATGGAAATGTGCTGAGAACTTGCACTGAATTTTACACACATATGGAGCCCCCAGTAAAACGCTATACTAGTCCAGTTATTACTGCAAGAGGGGAGTCCTGTGGAATGTCAGCCTGTCATGCAAATAAATAAAAAGGCTCTGTGCTGATGAGCCCTTTATTCATTTCCTTCATCAAACGTTGCTGTCATAGTAATTTATAAGATCAGCGATCTCCAGTCACAGTTTTTGAAAAGCAACGTCGAAGTCCCCAGCCACTGCCCACCGCACACGTGCGGCCCATGAGCCGAACCTGGAGGAGGTGCTGTGAAAACGACCCGACCTGCAGCCTGGCCAAGGGATTGCCTTTCTTCTGCTGCACCTGATGGCAGCAGGAGGCACTTGGCTGGCCAAAAAGGGGCTACCTCTCCAGCTGCTGCTCAGCACCAGTCACGGAGGCAGGACCCCGTGCCACGTCCCCAGTGCCTCGATGAGCAGCGGGTGTGTGTGCGAGGGCGTGCCCATGCAGACACACAACTGCACGTCCCGCTGACTGCAGCACAAGTCACCGCTGCCGCCGCCGCGGAGCGATGCTTGTGACAGTGACGGAAAGCACCTGAACAAGGAGGCAGCTTCATGGCAGCTCCACACTGTCAGCTAAACGCAGGTGTCACCACCGGCGGCAGGCAGGGCTTGCCACACTCCTGGCAAGAACCGCTGGTGGGCAGAAGCGCTGCAATGTTTTTCGGTGCCAACAGATTCATTTTCCTCCCAAGCGCATGAATACTCAGGGTGTCACAGACATGGAGCTAACCGGGGAGCTGGGGGAAAGGAGAAACTCAAATGGAAATGTCGGGTATTCTGGTTTATGTTTTATTACATCTCTTGTAATAAAAGAGCATAATGTTCCAATGAACAGAATCACTCAGCTGCTCTTTGAGGATTTCGTTTTTGTCCATGGATTGTTTTCAAAGAGAAGAACCGACATTTCCAAATAGAGGGGTTACAGATGAGGGTCAGATCCGTACCTACATTGGCAGGGAGCGCTGAAAGCAGCAGAGCTGGCATCGCTGGCACTGGCCAAGGACCCAGCCCCATAAATTTGTCACACAGCCCCTGCCTACATTGTCTCCCCTGTTGTGCCCTCTGGTCCTGTTCCCTGACACTGTAAGGCCCAGAGCAGCAAAAAAGAAAAGGGCCACAAATAAATAAACTGCCAGGGAATTTACAGGCAGCGTCATATGAAAAGCCTCAAGTAGCATTGCTAATCAGACGCTGAATTCAAGTGGCAGCTAACAGAGATAGAAACACATCCAGAAAGAGTGCGAATTACTCAGTTCATTCTTGTTGGAACTGGAAGTGGGCTTTTTCTCCCTTTTCAGTTGACAAATAGCATGAGAAATGATCCAGCCTGAAAAATGTTACAAGACTTCCAATCAAATATAATGATGAAAAAAATCCAACGATACAGGATCAGCAGCAGTAAAATGTTTAATTTGAAGGAGATGAAGAGATGCCTACAGCATCTATAAAGCAATCAACCAAAGAGAGGGCTGAGAGCGGGAGGGAAAGAATAATTTCATTTAACCCTTCCTTTTCTGGAGTGACCTCTCTGTCCTCTCCAGAAGAGAAAACACGTAACTCGGGGCTTATCAGCGTAAAATATTAGAAAAAGGTTGTATTTTATTTGACTTACTGTTTTCCTAAATAACACAAAACCCTAGAGCTACTCTTATAACAGATAAATCTCATGATTTCACTAACTTCTGGGGGCTTGCTCTGGATTTCCAGTGGCATTAACAAAGGATTTCAGCGACACAACATTACCCATATACACAGAGATGGATAAATGTGCAGAATTTCCTTCCAGTTTAGGCTGTGATCGGTTTTGTATTTCCTTCCGATAATACGGGCTGTTTAATACAAAAAAGCATGCTTTTCTATGGGAAACAGATCAACTGTTGAGACACATGATACAATATGAAATCTAAATTACCTTTTTGTTAAATATTTGCTTTGAACTACATTTGTAAAACACACTGGTCAATGTGGGCAATTTGCTTACTTCATGTCGGGCTCTGCATGCCACAGCCTCATAGAGGAAACCACCTATTTTTGGCAGTTCCAGATTTTCCGATTTTGGGGTCATTATGCTACTCTTAAATCTGCAGGTAAAATTTCCACTGGCTTCATGCACTGCTGTGCACACTCTGCCATAACACTTGGGTTTTTGGGTCAGTGCTGCTCTGCTTCTGTACTGCAAAGAAGGAAACCCCACTGATCTTCCCTGATTAAAGTACAGGCTGCAGCTCATTTTCCAGTGCAGATAAACCCCCCAAATGATGGTCTGACCTACAACGAAACACCAGGCGTATGGTGGGCTTCAGAGAGAAGGGATGAAAACAGTGGCCACGCTCAGCCTTCCTTTTCCCAAGAAAGCTGGCGCTGGGCTCGGAAGGGTGCACATCCCAGCATAGGTGCACCGTGCCCACCTTTTCCACTCCCCTCTCCTTCCTCCGTGCCCTTCCCCACCGCTCCCCAACCACAGGTGGGGCAGCCTCCTCCTCCTCCACAGCCACCACCATCTGGAGCTGACTTCCCTTGCCCTCCCTCCCTCTCACCGACTCCCCATCTACTTTCAAATCAAATGTGAAGATATAGATTTCCTTCCATGCCCACAGGACTTATTTTTTCCATCCCTTCAAGAGATTTAATTTTTAAACTGTACAGGCATGGCTGCCTTCTCAGTGTTTCAGAACAACGCGGGTACGGAAGATGCTGCTTTATGAAGGGTCATTCAGGTAGACTTTAACCTCACAGACGAACTCATTTTTTCAAACAAATTAACCAGCACTGGTAGAAAACTTGCAAGAAAACGAATATGATGGAAGTTGACTTTAGAAGATAAAAGTGACTGGTCTTAAATCGCACTGTACTGAAATATGATTTGAAGGCCACAATGAAAACCAGCTGGAAGCCATGTGTAAAGTATAATGGTACATGCCTACAGGGGAGGAAGTGAGATATTGAATGATTAAGTTTAGGAGAGTATATAATGTAGTGTATCATTACGGGAGTGATCAGGATTACTTGTAATAAGCTAAGGGTTTGTGGTCTTTCTAAAATCCAAAGCCAAGAATTATTGGGGGGAAGGGATCACCGCACTGTTTTACACATATCTGCTCCCCACGTCTCGGGATGCTCCCACAGAAGAAACCTGACTTCGGCAGACTGGGACAGCCACGTTCCCACAGAAAAGAGAGGTGAGCGAACCCAAACTGAACGACGAACGTCATGTAATTGCAGTCTGTGTCTGCACTGTATTTAATTTTGGCTGGATTCACTACCCTACTGATGTTTGTTTCCATTTCCACCCACTTTCTAGCTACAACTAGACACATGAAAATGGTGAGTCACTAAGGGGAGCCAAGCAGGACACTTGAGCGGGGTACACACACGCACTCGAGCACCAGCTGCAGCGAGGCACCGGCTGACAACACTCGCTCCGTGAAATGCCACCTTTCGTTCCCTGAACAGCCATTGCAGCAGATTAGAAACAGGAACTGCATTTCTACGTGAAACCCCCGAGCTCTTTTGTTTCGTAGTGTGGTTCTGCTCTTCCCTTTGCAGACAGGATTAGTCATGTGAGCTCCTTTCCAACCAGTTTTGCTGAGAGGAAGAGGTGCCCCTTACTATGAGAAACACCAAAAATGTTACATTCTTGGCAGACAAGACTGTGCATTTGCAGCAGAGACTGCCCTTGTTGAACAGTCCCTGCCTTCCTCTG